ATCTTTTGTAAAAGTAATTAAAACAGAAAATTCATTGTATCTCATAAACGAAGACAGATAGGACATATATTTATATGACTTTTTTTCATTATTTTTAGGCGTACAATCAGCTCCCGAAGTGGGTCCCACAAGTTACGAAACACCCTGTATGTGTTAACAAAAATATCCACAATTTTACCGATATAAATGTACCAGTCGATCCATTCGCAATTCAATTTTACAAGATCATAACGATCCGACGAAGATATTAACTGCATTTCAACTCGCGAGTTAATTTCCACTTCTCTAGTAGTATTAGTAATTTATTCCTCGTGTCATAGTTCGAATTCACGCGCACTGTATTACGCACGTGATATAGTATGCATATTAAGTTATGCATACGCAAATCTCCAATGTCTGAATCAATGGAGTATGATTACAGTGGCTCACCGCTTTGCATGAATGTCATTCATTTGAACGGAACTTTAGCTGAAATTCGATCAGATGAGTTTCTAAAAGTTGTTGAAATCGTTTGTCTGAGTATGAACTATCATCAGATCAGAATCCATCGTAATTTATTTTTTAGGTTCTCTAGCTAAATATTAGTAAAATATATATATATATATATTATTATAAATAATATATAATAATATGTATTATTATAATATATTATTATTAAATATATATTATTATAGAATATTATTATTAAATATATATTATTATAAATAATATATAATAATAATAATATAATGCTAAATATTAGTAAAAAATATATATAAATATCAGTACTATTAATAAATACTACAATTTCGTAAAATTGTACTATTTGTTATTCCATGTACAATCGTTATCTTTCTGTTTTTCTTCACTCGTCTTTGCACGAAATTTTTAGAAAGACGTAAAAATAACTTCGGGTACTCGATATCGAAGTCGAGTAGTGCTTAGATCAACTTTAAAATTTATAATATTCGGATATTATATACCCGAATATTACGTCGGGTTTTACACTTATTCTTTCTTCAATCTTCATTGGATTCAATTGAATTTACAATATTGCTGCCGTTGTCAATGATAAAAAAAAAAAAAAGCAGGCATAGTAAGAGTATTCAGTCCGCATTCACTCAACAACATAGTTAACGCAGCTTGTACGCGATACTATTAAATGAATACTTGAATAATGATTTTCGATTGATTGTAAAGTGTAAATTATATTACTTTTTCGGGAAAGTATGTCTTCTAAAAAATAAGTCAGCGTTTCTCTATTTATGCGGAATAGAAAAAAACTATCGGTTTTGTTAAGTTACACAGCTACAAGGTGTCACGAAAGTTCTACATCGTCAGTAAACACGAGCAGTCTTGAATGATTTTCGACGAAGCGTTCGGAAATAAATAGAAAATAAAACTCACAGGAAACTCGCGTATACAATGTATACTAAATTAACTTAAAAGAAAAAGATGCATGGATAAGAAACTGCGACGACAATGTCAAGTGCTCTTGGCGACTCTCGGCTTTCGACCGACTAAAAAGGAAACCCAAATAAAAGAAGGTTTATCGTCAGATGCTGGCAACGTTGTAACAGCCACGCGAACAAAATTAACACCCCGAAAAAAGTTTGAACAATTATGTTTTCTTCACAGTAATTTAAAATAAAATAGCTTTCATATAATATTATCGACTGTTTCCTTTGCTTGTGGATTTTTAAAATTTGATTTCACTTATATGGAATACAAAAATATTTATAAATTTGAAAGAACAAATGTAATAACCGATTGAAAAATTATCACTCTGACCAGTGATGTAATTTTTGGGTACCTGAATATTATAGATTTTTAAGTACCACAAACTTTCGGAATCCGAAATGTCGGATACCCGCACACCCCTAAAAATAACAGTCCTCGTCGTCGTCGAAGAACACTTATGGTATTCCGCGCAGCCAGCATCGATAAAAATAGACATTTATACAAAGACTAAGTTTTTTTTTTTTTTTATTATAGGACGATGTATAGCTAGAGCAACGTCGGGGGCCAGAATTTTTTTTAGCGCCGCTTCCCATCCGCGCTCATTTCAAATTCATTGCTTTCTGTTCGTTCAACTGTAATGACACCAAACACGGGCTTCCATGTATAGCCATGTGCTCGTTTTATCTATAGACATTTTCTTCAAAGGAAACTTAATTCGTTTCGAGCTTTATCGCCGCATAACCCAGAAATTATATTTCGCATGACGTTCCGGTGTACTGTTTATCATCATTACAATTATCTGGGAATTATCAGTTTCACAGTTCTTTTATTCTTACCTAATGATTGAACTTCATCCAAAAAAAAAAATAAACAAAAAATTCCCAGCGCAACAAGTTTTTATGTAAATGAAATAATGATAGAAACCTGACATCGTGCTCGATATTACAGCAGTATTACATTCGCGACTAAATTATTATATTTACAATACAAGGGATTAATAGCAAAAATTTAAAATAAAATAAGATATATTAAATAATAATTTAAAATAAAATAAAATATATTAAATAATAATTTAAAGTAAAATGAACTATATTAAATAATAATTTAAAATAAAATAAAATATATTAAATAACAGTTTAAAATAAAATGAAATAAATATATTAAATAAATAAAATTTTTTTTTTACTAGAAATCAATCTCTGGAATGGAACATTTTTCAATTGAAACGAGACGAAAAATTTTGTGAAACTAGAAAAAATTATTAAATACACAGAAAAGAGTACTAAGGTTTAAGAGTACTGAAATTTTTATGATATTGTTTAAATATATATATATATATATATATATATATATATATATTTATTTACAAACAACGAGCGTGTACTGAATGTCTAACAAATCACTTGGGAATAATCACCTGTACGCGGTGTCCGTCAGTCGTGACGCTTTTTTTAAAAGTTCAACGAGGATTACCGCGACGCGTCATTAAATCCGGATTAAACAATGGATTCTCGTTCGAGCAGGACGCTTTCGTTTTCGCCTTGTTTGCCACGTGATTAATTACCGGGAGACTGTTGCATCGTCGTTACTAATTTTCAAAAAGTTTCCGAGAAAGGCTCGCCAGAAATTAATTGATTCAATTAGCGTCATAAACAGAGTACAGGGATTTCAGTTAATTATCCTTGATTATGAAATTGAATTTAAACTAAACGAACAAATGTGATTTTATCTGTCAACAGGCGACCGATTGGTGGTTAAATGACATGTACCTGTCTGTGCCTCTGGCTTTACCAATTAATAGCAATCCTGGCCTCGCAGCAAGACCCAAAGCGTTTAGCAATCAAAAGGAAGCTGCTGTGTTCCTCGCCAGATTTTTAACAGAGCTGCTTAACTATCAAGAAGTATTAGATAGGTAAAAATATTTTATAACTTGTCTGCTCAAGAAGAAGTATTACTAAGACATAGATGAGAATATACAAGTTTCAACGATACTTTATATGTATATATTCAGGTTTCAGAATCTTAATAATATTTTACATATTGTCTTAATAATATTTCACAACAAAATTCATAAAATTCTAAATACAAATCTAATAGATAGATTAGTGTTGCATTTAAAACAACTTCTGAAGATAAATACTAGATCTTCAAAGAGAAATGTAAAATCATATCAGCTGTGAATGATCTCAAGCTTTTAAGAAATGAAGGAAATTTGGCTCAGGTCGATTCGTCAACTTTGACCACACCAAATGTAAAAATGTTGATCCTTGAATCAACCAAGGAGAAGAGAACACAGTCCTCTCTCATTTCTGGTTAACTGTCAAAAAGTGTTAGATAGGTAAAAATACTTGACTATCAAGAAGTATTACTAAAATGAGAATATGTAAGTTTCAATAATACTTTATATATTCTGGTTTCAGAATCTTAATAACATTTCACAACAAAATTCATAAAATTCTAAATACAAATTTAATAGATTAGCGTTGATTTTGGCTTAGAAAATTTGGCTTAGATCGATTCACCAACCTCGACCACACCAAAACTGTTGATCCTTGAATAAACCAAGAAGAAGACAATCCTCTCAATCATTTCTCTAAAGTCTGCAAAACTCTCTGCGAATGTAGAACGAAAGAGAGAGAGAGAGAGAGAGAGAGAAAAAAAAGCAAGGAGATGAAACGATTGGAAGAGAGGAGCCTGGAAATCTTTCTCGAAACGTTCGGTGCCGGAACAGGATTGTAACCACCCTCGTCGGGAGAAGCTGACTAAGCTAATCGTCGACGCGAGGCTTAGGAGCCAACCCCGTGAAGTGAAGGTGGAAGAAAGCGAACGCACGTTGAAGGAACGAAGCTCTCTTCGCACTCGAACGAACGAAGAGCTCCGTCATTCGAGACGAGGTGATTCGACCCGGAGGACAAAAAGAAGCCGCACGAAAATCAATTTAGGCGAAGGGAGCACGTCTGCAAGGAAATCCGGCTTGTAGGATCCATAGAACGCGTACGATCCATAAAGAGACGCTCGTCGCGAGCGAGAGACGGCAAAGGATGCTTCTGCATAGAAAGGCTGAAAGGCCCTTTGCTATCTTGTATCCGGTCGGCACGGAAACGCCTCCGACTGCCTTTATTTTCGGGAATTAACGCAAATTCGTCGAGACGAGTCGATCTGACAATTGAAGAAATTTCAGTAGTAGAAAAAAAAGGGATTTACACGTTTAACTTGAAACAAAGTTAATTATTTGTAACTGTGATAAATATATTTATTATAATATATTTATTTATTTATATATTTATTATAATATAATTAATATGTTTTATAATATAAATTATAATATATTATAATATATTTATTTATTTATTAATATATTTATTATAATATTATAATTAATATATTTTAAAATATAAATTAATATATTTATTATAATATATTATAATATAATACATTTATTTACTTATTAATATATTTATTGTAATATAAATTTTTTGTAATATAAACTTTATAATATAAATTAATATATTTATTATAATATATTATAATATATTTATTTAACAAACAACGAACATTGATACATCTACTTTTATAACGGAAAATTGCAAAATGATAAAAACGATAAAAAATAGTGAATTCATTAATAATGGATAATTCGTTAATAGTGGATCGACGAAGAGAAACTGACTAATGTATCAAACACAAAAGTGTTCAAACTGACGTTCTGAAGTTCTATTACATTATGCCAAGTGTTTGAAGTTTTATTTCACTGATCAGATCGAAATTCACAAGATCAGAGATTCGATTATCTAAAATTATCTAATGTGCTTTCTTGTTGCAGATCCGGTTTGGATATTGAACAGGTGAAGTCGAAAGATGGAAAGACTATGCAACCTCTGTGTATGGCCCAGCATTATCAAATGTATCGGATATATCGACGACCAGGAACGAACGGGGACGAACAAGTTATTCTTGACAGAACTGTATCGGGGAATCATATCATAGTTGCTCATCACAATCAGGTATATCTGTAATACTTAAGTATGAAACATTTTGCACAAAATTATAGTGGACTATTTTAATGGAAAGTAAGTAAATTCTATTCTCTGTTTCTTTTCATTATTATTATTATTATTATTATTATTAAATCGATATTATTTTATTATACTTATTCATTGATTTTTAATAACAAGACTCATGCTCAGAATTTGCAACACGATTCTACCAAGTACGAAGTAAAAATGAAACAAATAAATATTTGTTAAGAATTCGATCATTTCGGATGCTTTATATTTTTCTTTTCACATTTGCCTGTCTCATTTCGTTTCAAATTTATTTTGCAGAAGTACCACCTCACAACAGCTGTTCCGTTCGTACACGTGCAATTTGATTCGCATCTACACTTTGCTTATTTTAAATTGTGCAAATGTTAAGTAAGTGCATGAACATTTCGTTTCGTTTTCTTTCGAATTTAATGCAAAACGCGGTGTTGAGGGTTTCACGATCAGTGTTCTTCCCGCTAACCTAAAATTGTCTCTCAAAATTCGAAATTGCTTACTAAACGGTTTCATCGTCAGAAGCTAAAAGTCGTAGAGAAGAAAAAAAAAAAAAATACAAGAAAAAACTATTATGCCTGCAAGCATCGTCATTTAAACATTTAGATGACCAAACGAACATGTAAATTGTGCACACGATGTAAAAATTAAACACCAACAATTTTTCATGAAATTTACGGCCAATTTTTCCAATTTTCAATATGAATAACTGCGATATGAATAACTTGCACAACTAATCGTCGCAATAAATTTATTCAGTTTTATAGCGTGCCCGTTAGGGCTCCCGATCGAGGTCGCATAACCGAGGACGAACTGGTTCAACAGATTTTAAAAATCATGGGAACTAAAGCTGATCCTAGAACTCCGCCGGTTGGTATCCTAACGACGATGAAGAGACCAGCGTGGGCAAAGGCGAGAGAAGAATTACTCAAACGTGCGTACGATTGTGATTTTCCAGCTTATCAGTACTATTCTCTAATCTCGGTTTCTTTAATCGTTGTTACTAAAAGAAAAAAAAAAGTGATATTGAATAATGTCGACCCGATTGATTTATATGTTCCATGTCAGTGAAAAAGTGATATTGAATAATGTCGACCCGATTGATTTATATGTTCCATGTCAGTGAAAATTATTAGTATTACGACACCATTGCCAAACAGTTACAAGTAATCTCGTTGCAAGTCCTCCAGCAACCCTTGCCACCGCGTATACCCCTTCCACGCCATAATTAACCGGCTGTTCTGCTCTCACCAATATTCGCAATATTCCTATTAGCACCCTAACCCGACCTTGCTCAACGACTACAACCTACAACCTACGTCTACAAATCCAATGAACGTGTAACAAGCTAACGACGATCCGTGGTTGGGTTCGTTTCATCGTCGAGGAGAGCATCTTTAACCACTCGCGCGTCGAACACTTTCATCCAATTGCCAAAATTTTCCAACCAACGACTTTTTCAAAATCTTCCGAGACTGAAGTTTATACTTGTAGAATTTACGAGTTAACCTATGGAAATGTTGCAGCTATAGATAGACAATGAAATTGGAATAA